AATTTCCTGGCTGCTGGTGCCAAGACTGTTGACTACAGAACCAAGCAAACTAAAGCTGTGTACAATCTCAATCTCTACTAGCGGCCCCAAGGGAGAAAGATGGGCCATCTTCTACGCAACGTGTAGTATCTAAAACCCTGCTGGTGGGCCAGCTGTAAGTCAGCTCTGACTTCACGGCCATGAGTGAGTAATTTGTGTGAGGATGAGGATTAAAGAATCCATTTACAATGTACAGCTCCAGGCCTGGCAGAGCTGTTGCTGGCAGCTGTGATCTCGTTAATCACTCCTCGTAGAGACCCTATGGACTGAAAGCAGTAATTGTCAGTGCTTGTTAATTCACACAGGTGGTGGCTGCATGTGATTGGCCTAGTCTCCCAGTAGGTGCATACCCTATAGTGAACCTATGAACGACAGATCTGAACCCTGTCCCATCCAGTGCCATTCTCACACTTCCTGATGCACTAGATCCCATTGTGGCAATCTCTCTGTGTCAATCCACCTAGTTGATGGATTTCCCCTCCTTCACCAGTCCTCCCTCCACCCTTCCCAGCATCATGTCTCTCTCTAAGAAATAGCCTCTACTCACAAAATGCCCAAAGTATGTGAGGCAAACCTTTATCATTGCCTCCAAGGAGCACTCTGGCTGCACTTTCTCCAAGATATAGTTGTTTGTTCTTTTGGCCATCCACAGGCATGTTCAGTGCTCTTCTCCCACACCACAGATTAAGGGCATCAATTTGTCTTCTGTCCTCCTTACTCATTGTCCAGCTCCCAAATCCACAGCAAATAATCAGAAAGACCATTGCCTGAATCAGACACACCTTAGTCCTCAAACTGATAACATTGCTCCTCAATAATTTGGAGAGTTCCCTGACTGCAGATTTTCCCAGTGCAATACAATCAGGATCTGTATTGGTGTCCCGAGTGGAAGGCAAGAATTCTACCTGAGCAATTAGTGCCCCCCATGCTGATGTTAATGATGTTAGTTGTCTAACAGCATTAAATGTGGTCCAGTTCTGTGCCTTTTTCACACACACTAGTACATCTGAGTGCACTGTTTCAGCTTTTGTGTTAACCATCTGATTGAGGGTCTTCCTTTTTCCATCCTTCCTTATCATTGGTCTTCTATTTTACCAACCATGCCCCTTTTCCTAGCAAGTGATGACATTTTTGAAACAAACAACTTAAAGTCTCACCATTCACATTTCTAAGAAACATTTGGGTTATATTTCTTCTCAGAAGGATTTGTTCATTCTTTTGGCAGCCCATGACGTCTTCAAGGTTCTTTGCCAACACCAGTTTGAATGCTGCAATTCTTTTTCTTTCTTCCTTTTCCATGATTCAACTTTTGTTCACATATTCAGCAATTGAAAAGGCCATGACATGAGTCAGATACACATTGGACAAGTTGATGCTTCTTGATTTGTTCTTCAGTGACTGTACCCCAAGTTTCTATTAAGTCTCACCTTTGACTCAGATCTCTAGCTCGGCATCAGGTCAAATAAATGCTTGCAGCTAGATAAGAAATTTCATGTGATTAATGATGAAATGAAACCGAGAGAAACCCCAACTATTCCACTTCAATCCCAGCCTCACGGTCAGGAAGCCGCATGTCCTGCTCACCCAGATCCGCAGTCCAGAATCCCAGGTCTGGTCAGGTGGTTCCAATCAAAACTTAAACCGTGTTCTCTTGTTTTCTTTCCTTCTCTAGTTACACATAACAGGTTTATTAACACAGGCAGAGTAGTACTTGATAATAACTGAACAGAATTCAGGGAAAAGCACACACTGTTTATTGAGGCAACCTTAATTTAGACTTTAAAATAATAAAACGTAAAGAAATAGCCTCAGAATGCACCAAACTTAGAAACAAATAGATTGTGAGAGGAAGAAAAAAAATGGGAAAGAGGAAAAGAGAGAGAAAAAGAAAAGACATAGACAGAGACAGACATACACACATAGACAGAGACAGAGAAGACATAGAGAAACACACAGACAGAGAAGACAGAGAAACACACACACAGAGAAGACAGACAGAGGCACACACACACACACATGCACAAAGAGAGAGAAAAGACAGACAGACACACACACATGCACAAAGAGAGAGAGAAGACAGACAGACAGACACACACACACACAGAGACACACATGCACAAAGAGAGAGAGAAGACAGACAGACACACACACAGACAAGCGCTTGGGGAAAGGGAGAGAAGACATAGAGAGATAGACACACACACACACACACAGAAGACATAGACAGAGACACACACAGAGAAGATATAGACAGAGACAAACACAGACACACACAGTGTGGGTGAGAGAGAAGACATAGACAGAAAAACAGAGACACACAGACACACACACAGAGAGAAGACATAGACAGAGACCCACACACACAGACACACAGAGAAGACACAGACAGATACACACGCAAAGACACACAGAGAAAGAGTGTGTGTGTGTGTGAGAGAGAGAGAGAGAGAGAGAGAATGAAAACAAGAGCAAGTACTTGTGGATTAAAATGGATGGTTTAGGGCAAAACTCAGTAAATTTGAGTTAATTACCTAAAGCGTGGAAACCACTGGAGCTCTTTCATGGAGAGAGAATGTGCTTTCCCCCTTGAGTAAAACAGGAAAAGAAAAGTGAACTAGAAATTCAATTACTCACATGCATGGCTAGAATGCTTCTCGGGACTAACTCTCTGTATTGTCTAATGGTAAAGTGCCATGTCTTTATTCTCATGAGGTCATCGAAGGTGAACTCCAAGATCAATCTGCCTTCTGTACACACCTGTAGGCGACAAACAACACAGTCACTGGTGATCTAAACTGAGAACGTCACATTCGGTAACTCACGCCACAGCTGCTTAGTAAGGCTTCCCTCACTACCCTTGATCAGCACGTGTTTTCACAAAGAAGGGACACTGGAGGTTTTATCCAGGGCATATGGGATAAGTATAAGCTCTGTAACCGGTGTTCCAATGTTTTGGGGTTCAAAAGTCGCTCAACTGATAGCAGTAATATTGTAATTATCGTTGTTAGGTACTGTGGAGTAAAAATCAACTCATAGCTGACCATCTCGTGGGGTTTTCAGACTCATTAAATCTCATGGGAGGGGAATGCCCATCTTTCTCCCAAGAAACAGCTGGTGTTTTTAAACAAGTGACTTCTTAGCAAGAGACATAGTTACATAACCACTTCTACACCCACAAGGCTCCTCCACTCCATATAAAACGACTTCTGTTAAGACTCACAGAAACCACCCATTGAATTTCCAAGTGCTGAAAGGTTTCTGGGAAGGAGACTATCCATCTTTCTCTCCCAGAGTATTCAGTGAATTTGAATTGCTGCCTTTTGTTTAGAAGCACAACACATACTACACCACACTGTCAAAGCCCTGTTGACATAATGACTCAGAGCTGGGATTATAAAAAGAAAAAAAGACCTTTACCTCTAACCCATCAGCTGTTCCCTGCTATACGAAAAACCCTCAAACTCATTGGCCTGGAGTCAGAACCAGCTCACAGCTGACCATCTAGTTAATTTTTAGAGGCTGTAAGTCTCAGTGGAGCAGACACAGCCCATCTTTCTCCCATGCAGCCGCTGGTGGATGATTTAAGAATTGATGCCTTTGAACTGTTGGAGAAGAGTACTGAATATTCCAGGTACTGTGAATTTTGAGAAATGATAGTTATCGAAAGACTACAGATGTTTTGTTCATAGGATCACTATGAGTCATGCTCGACTCAGTGGCACTCAACAACAAAAACAACAACTGCCAAAAGGATGATATGCCTTAGAGAAGATACAGCCAGAGTTTTCCTCGGAGGCATAGATGATAAAGCTTCACCTCATATACTGTGGGCATACTGGTCGGAGGGGTTGTTCCTTGGAGAGGAACGTCAGGCTTGGACAGATGGTGAAGCTGAAAGGAAGACCCTCAACCAGGTGGACTGACATAGTCACTGCAGCAATGGGCTTGAGTGTGTCAGAGATGGTGAGGACGGCACAGGATAGGAAGAGGTCACTACAAATTTTTCTCAATGCCATAGCACCTAACAATATCCACCTGTGGTTTGGCAGTACAACTTCTCACCCTCTAGGCTACCATGATACTCTCTTCCTGCTTCCGGACAACTATCACCTTCTTGAGGTGACAAAAGCTTGAGGCTATATACAAGGGTTTGGGTTTTCATTCAGAGGGTCGCTATGAGTTGCCTACAATTCAATGGCACTTAACAACAACAACATCATCATATGAATCTTAGTTGACCTTTGCTGAGAGACTGTAATGGAAATATTCAGACTTACATGCACGACCATGTCTACAATGTTATCCTTAATCCAAGCTGGTGTAATTCAGTTCCTGTCTTGTGGAGAAGAGAGAGATATTAAGTAGAGGATATTCCTGTATCCAGTTAGATCAGTGATGGCAGAATCGACTTCCATAAATAACTAGCCTTTGTAGGGGAAGGTGTGTTTTTAATTTGTTGTTGTTGTTGCTATGTGCCGTTGAGTCGCTTGCAACTCATCACTACCCTATGTACAACAGCCCTACACTCTGCTCTGTCCTGTGCCAATCGCACTGTCTCTGACACACCCATCCCGATTACCCCAGTCACTGAATCAATCCACCTCATAGAGGGCCTTCCTCTCCTGCGCTGTCCCTCCACCCTCCCAAGCATGATGTCCTTCTCCGAGGACCGGTCTCTTCTTACAACATGTCCAAAGTATGTCAGACGAAGCCTCAGAATCCTGGCCTCCAAGGAGCAGCCCGGTTTAACCTTCTCCAGGATGAATCTGTTTGTTTTCCTAGCAGTCCATGGTACCCTCAATACTCTTCTCCAGCACCATAGCTCAAAGGCATCAATTCTCCTTCTATCCCCAGTCATTGTCCAACTCTCTGATGCATAACAAGCGATTGCAAAGACCATGGCCTGTATCAGATGCACCTTAGTCTCCAGAGAGACACCATTGCTCTTCAGTACTTTGGAGAGGTCCCTAACAGCAGAATTTCAAAAAAATCTATTTTATGACAGCAGCATAATACAATTTCTGATTCTTTTCCTCAATAGAATGATTAGTGTCTGGGTAGCTTTCTTTGGCTCTTTATTTGTGTGTGTGTGTGTGTGCATGTGTGTGTGTGAGAGATTAATATTATTTTTGGTTTTATTGTTAGGTTCTGTCTGGTCAGTTATAATTCATAGTGACCATATAGACAACAGAGGGAAGCCTTGCCTTATCCCATCTTCACAACATCTCCCATATTCAAGCCCATTACCGTGGTCACTTTACTTTGTCAATTCATCTCTTTGTCTCTGTTTCCGGCCCTTTGTTTTTCTCAGCATGATATCTTTTTCCAATATTGGGTCCCTCTTGACAACAAAATTTCACCATCCTCATCTCTAAAGAGTACTCTGGGTGCACTTCCTCCTAGACAGATTTGTTTGTTCTTTTGACAGTTTGTTGTTTATTTAATAGTCTTGGTGGCTTACTTGTAAGAAGCTGGGCTGCAATCCCAAAGGCATGCAGTTTGAATCCACCAGATGCTTCATGGGAGACAGATGGGCAATCTCCTCTTGTGTGACTAACTGACTCTGAAAACTGCCAGAAGGTCAGCCATGGGCCAGTTCCAACTGGACAATACACAACAACAACAACAACAACAACACAATCAAGGGCTTCAATTGTCTGGTCTTCCTTATTCAACATCCACCTTTCATGGTCACATGAAGCAGCTGGAAATACCATGGCTTGAGTCTGACACACCTTAGTCTCTAAACTGGCATCCTTACTCTTTGGCATTTTAAAGAGGTAAATTATTTTTAGGATGCTGTTTTCATCTTTTTTTCCCCTTTCACTATTGATAACGTTGCAATGAAGAAGATGGTAGTCAATTCATACATTATTGAACCCCTTGTTACTACAGGAGGAGTGGAGGGTAGCATATTGGTCAGGTTGAAATCATTTCAGCTCCTAGATCAGCCAAATTTCCCTTTGCAAAGCAGTGCCAAACCATGAGCGGAGGCTTTGTCATTAGACAGTGCGGGATCCAAATTTGATCCAACTTTAACTCAGTTTGGAGGTAAGGGCAAAGTCAGAGCATTTCTCTAAATTCCACCTTTCTTTTTTTTGTGTGTGTAATAATTTAATAGAAATGCCCTCAATTCTTGAGTTCTAGCTAAGTGCTTCATGTGCCTTAATTTTAACTTAAAATGATAGTTTCTTCAAACAGGCCAAAAGCAGGACATAAGGTTTTCAAGCAAGTGTGAGCAGGTATTACTGAAGAAAGATTCTGATGAGGTTCACCCTCTTTACTTTAACTGTGGCCTCAGGCGCACTGCGAGATAATCCCAGGCCATCTGGGTGCAAGCATTCGGGCACCTTGTCCCACTCCTGCTCACTGAGTTCTCTTCAGAGTCTATTGGCAATTTGGCAATTGAGTACGTGAAAGGGGAAAGGCTTTGGTATCGCCAAACCACTCCCTCCAGCATATTCCCAGCACTGGACGTAGTTTACAGAGATTTTCAAACAGATAGTATGGAGAATTAGACACCCATTCTCCCCAGAGTGGAAGTGTGACTGAGTCACCTGTGGCAAAGACTTTCACAAAAGAATTAACCACAGCCGGTCACTGCCAGTGACATGTCCTAACAGTAAACAACAGGGATATTTAGACACTATCGTCCTATTTTTAAAGAAAGGGAGAAAAGTGCAACAATGAATGACTGGAAACCCTAAGTCTCTGTAAACTTTCATTAAAATGAATTTTAAAAATATGCAATAAAAAAACCCCAAACACCCAAACAAACAAAAAACCCAAAACATTACACAACATGGGTGACCCTGCAGGACATTACGCTGAGTCAAATATCTCAGCCACAAAAGGACAAATATTGCATATCACCACTGTTATAAAGCAGGTCTGATAGGAGGGTTTGGGAGGAGAATAGGACAAGAATGAATAGATAATTAATATTGTACTGGAACCAATGAAGGAAAGAACTGTTTAAAAGGAATATATATGATTAGATATTATATGTATGACAATATCCCAGAGTAAGAGGTAAACTGCAAAGAGGACTGGGGGGACGGGGGTGGAGAACTGGACAACAACAAATGAATATTCTTAAAGGAAAAGTGAACTGAGGGAAGGGGGAGGGAAAGAGGGGGAGTAAAAATGTCAACAGTAAATGAACCAAAACCTCTAACTTTTCTGTAAACTTTCATTAAAAGTACAATTAAAATGTTACAAAAAAAGAGAGAATTATTGGATATTTAAACAAATGTTGTTGTTGTT